CTGGGTGTCTTGCCTATGTCTGGCTGTCATTCTCATATACCTGCAACCGTTGTCGACAGCGATTTTCTGACCATTGATGGGTGTCGAGTGGGCGGGTGGGTGGGATGGGGAGACAGGCCGTGTGCATGCTTCTATGCATGTGCATGCTGCTAGTTTAGTGCGTGACCTGGACAGGATCCCCTCGGGGTTACAGACACGAGTCTCGTTAAACACAATAACCAACCAACCAACGTCATGGACAGCGACTATTTGAGCTGACGTTCATCAGCTCTGACACTCGCTCTCGCCCCCCGGTCTCGTCCGCGGCATCGTGACGGCTTGGAGGCTCTTGCGGACGGCAGTGTAGCGGCAGCTCATCCAGCCTCCGTCGAGTCCATCAGACGGCCAGCGCGACAGGGTCAGCCCCTCCCCAGCAGGCCTGCAGGGGCTCAACGGCACGGCAGCTGTTCGACAGCTCATCCTGCATCTGAGGGACTCAGCCAGTGAAGCACGGTCCACTCATCATGTCAGCCGCGTGCGAGGTGGACCCGAGTTTGGACCCGACTCTCTATGCCAAGTACGATGTCGTCGGTGAGCTGGGCGCCGGCGCGTTCGGCAAGGTGATGCAGGTGCGGGAGAAGCTCAAAGGGAAGGCGGGCCGTCTTTACGCCGTGAAGGTGCAGGACTTCTCGACGTGCCGGGAGGGTATCCCTGTCGAGGCTCTGCGCGACGTGGTGAGGTGGGGAGGGAGGGAGGGAGGGAGGGAGGGTGTATGCAATGATGCCATGTCCTTTTGTTATCGACGTGTGTGTGTGGCTGTGATGCAGGCCATTCTGAGCAAGATGAAGCACCAGAATGTGGCCAAGGTCTTCGAGGCCTGGGTGTCTGGTAAGGAGCGGCGGCTCTACATGGTCATGGAGTGTGCATCCGGCGGCGACCTCTCCAGGTTTCTCCGCCGCATCTTCCCACCGGTAAGCAGACCAGCAAACAAACGAAGGAAACCAACAGAGCCGACGGATGGACCATCGTGTGTGTATGTGTGTGCTGTGCTGTCATGCATTCGCGAATGCAGCGAAAGGTCAAAGTGGATCGTATTCTGCCGCCCGAGCAGGTCAAGCGCTATATGTTCCAGGTGCGCAAGAGAGGCACACACAGCCATGGGATGCCCCTTATCTGCTGTGTGTGTTGCATGCATTGGACAGCTGCTGCTGTCGTTGGCCCACGTTCACTCGCACGACATCGCCCACCGCGACCTCAAGCCCGCCAACGTCCTGCTCAACAACAGCACGACACCTGGACGGTATGCAACATTCCCCCCCGCCCACCTACAGGCGTTAACCCACACCCACACACACAGTGTCCGTCTACGTGTCTGTGTGGATGCAGTGAGAAGTTGTTGTTGACCGATCTCGGCCACGGCCGTCTCCTGGACAGCCTCGGCGCCCCGCCCGTCCGACACACCGTAAGTACCGCACTGACCCGCCGACGCCATGTGTCAGCGACACGTGTGAATCCGTTGTGCCATTCATCAGAACCCGACTGCGTTGGGGACGCCATCGTATAGGGCGCCCGAGGCGGTGCTGGGGCAGCGGACCCACGGGACCGCCGTGGACATCTGGGCTGCTGGTATGAGGGAGGGAGGGAAAGACGCGTGGCCACATGGCACCTGCGGGATGCTTATTGTCTGTCTGTCTGTCTGTGTGCAGGGTGCATACTCGCTCGGATGCTCGGATGCCGTTGCTCGCCCTTCGATGTGAGTCAGCCACTGGCCGACCGACCGAGCCATGCACACACACACAGCCACACACACAGACACACACAGACAGAGATAAGTGTGTGTGTCTGTCTGTGTGTTAGTGTCCTCTGGGTTCTGACTACGGCTCGCTGATTAAGATGATCGATTTGCTGGGGCTGCCGCCGCACAGCAGACTGCGGGCGCTCAACCTGCCGCACGTATGGACACACGGCACCAAAGCACCACACAAACCACAAACCACACACAGTACAAACACGCGTCCGTCCGGCTGTGTGTCTGTGCAGTGCCTCATCCTGCCGCGGATTCCGCAGCGGAGCAAGGCCGAGGTGCGCGTCAGGTTCTTGAAGATCCTGGCCGAGGGCGAGAACGGCGTGACCATCACTGACGAGGAGTTCGACTTCCTCTATGAGTAAGTCAGCCCATCAGGCACCCTCCCTCCCTCCCTCCCTCCCATGGCTGCATTCCTCTGTCAACTGTGTGTGTCAGTCTGATTAGGTTTGACCCCGCTGAGCGTTTGACGGCGGCGGAGGCGGTTAACCACCCCTACTTTGACGATCTGGACAAACAGGTACCCAGCCACCCCAATCCACACCACTAGCAGAGTGCCTCCATCCCTCACACGCACCCCTCTCCACCTCTCCTGGCCCATTTGTGTGTGTGTTGGGTGCAGGAGTTTCAGCACTGGGCGGCTGACGTCGGCGGCCAGTTCATCCAGCCCTACACGCCGCACATCGAGGTGGAGCCGGTCTACGAGCCGCCCTCCATCGAGGCGGCCCACGCTCAGACACCTCCCCCTGCTGCCACCGCTGCCGCTGCCGTTGTCCCTCCTGCTGCTGCTGCTGCTGTGCACGAGCAGCCCCAGGAGAACGGCCACCGATACCACATGCGCCACCGGCGCAATAAGAAGCGGGCGGCCCCGAGTGCTGCGGATGGCGGGGTGCAGCACGGCGAGGGCGGGGGCCGGGTGATGGCGGGAGAGGCCAAGAAGGGCCGTCTGCAGGCGGACAAGGGACAGGACGGTAGGGCTAATGAGGTGGAGAGGAGGCGCAAGAAGCGCAAGTTGGGCTAACTTCCCCTGGCGCACACAAACCACAGTAAAGTGTGAATAGCTACTGCGTACACTGAGCTGGGCGGTGCGTGCGATGTAGAGAGGGAGGGGAGGGGGGGGAGGGGAGGGCGACAATGGCCGTGCGTGCTGGATGGATGGATGGATGGACAAATGGATGGATGTACGAGACAGACAGACAGACAGACGTGATGCATACAGACGTAGTATACCTGGTGTGAATGAATGGGACCGACCGAGTGCATGATATGTGGAGCTGCCCCAGACCGTGTAGCAATCCGCAACCAGCCGAGCGCAGAACTCACACACAAATTGGCTCAGAGTATGCTGGCGGTGGAACAGCAGCCACAAAGCTATCAGACAGCAAATGCGGCAGCAATCAGGTGGATCAGTCTTCTTGAGTTGTTCGCTTCGTTCGAGTAATGATTTGGACAGCATTTAGGGAGAGCTCATGCATCGCGTCCATGAGTCAGTGTTCACCATCCATCCATATCAACCGGCCGAGAGGCAATCAAGCAAACACGGGCAATGACACCCGAAAGGGTGCGTGACAGCCGCCACTGAGAATTCAGGAGACAGCACGGAGCCAGCAAGAAAGAAAAAGAAACACTTCACCCACTCAGGCGGGCACTAGGACCGATCCTCACTGACGCGCCCATCCATTTCATTGCACATCCACACGCACACGCATACCAGGGGAGGGAGGGAGGGACGTCTACCCATCCATGAGCAGCTGCCACCGCCCGGCCCGTCCATGACAGCATATAGGAGGGCCGAGGCGGCCGTGGGTGGGTGCTGTCTGTCTGTCTGTTTGTCTGTCTGTCTGTCTGTCTGTCTGTCTATCCGCCATCTGTCCACCATGCTATCAGCTGCTCCCTCACGCAGCATCCCCCCGAGCACCCACCCCCCAGCTGTTTGTCGTTCGACGTCCTCACCCATGGTAAGCCATTCATCCGGCGGACGGTCACGTGCGGCGCTCTACAACCAGCCCGTAGCGATGGGAGCTGAACTTGTACGGGCCGCCATTGAAGTTGAGAGTGGCCTGCTCAGCCAGGAAACGCCGCTCAAAGTCGGTGCGCACATGGTGCCACAAACGCACGGTGGTCTTCTTGTGGCCCTGTTATCCATTCAGCCAACCGGAGAGTGGGCACACACACATTGCCCCGCAGCTGTCTGTGTGGTGTGGTGTGCGGCCCACCTTGAGCTCATTGCTGAAGGAGGCCACCGAGGCCATCACGCGCTGGTAGAAGGTCTCCAACTGACCATTCCCTACAACATCTGAAACGAATGAACACAGACACCGCACACAGACGATGCGACTGCTGGTTGTCCCATTCCCGCTCACCCGTAATATAGACAGTCACTTCTTTGATCGGCGGCAGCTTCTCATTGCTGTCCCGCCACCACAGACAGGGACTCTGGCGCTCGTCGGCGAATGCACTTACCGACAGGCTCAGCATCTCCAGCGTCAGGCTCCTCTCCCTCCCCTTGCTGACCAGCGCCGCCTGCAGCCGCTCGAGGAACATCCACATCTCACTGACAGGCGCGTTCAGCACAGTGTCGTTCTGGTGGTCTCCTGCCTGGATGCACGACAGGCTGGGCATGTGAGAGGCGATCTCGAGGGCGCGGTTCTTCTTGGCCGCATCGGCGAGGGCATTGCGTGTCAGGCGCAGGGTGTGGGCGGCGGGGAATGTGTCGTCGGTGATGGCCACACGATGGGCCTCGTCCCCTCCGCTGTAGGCGACGAAGTCGACTGTCTTGGCGTACTCGCCGGCGAGCTTCTGGACAGTGGGGGTCCCGGTGCTGCTGCTGCGCGAGAGGAGCTCCATGTCCATATATATTATGCGTCCATGTCCGCCACCGTCACGCACAATGCGCTGCAACAACGCCTGGGAATGCGCAACAGCGTCACTGCAGAAATCACCGAAGGACGAGCACATCGGTGTGCGTCACAGACGTAATCCCGTTCCCCTTCTGATGTGTCCTTACACGAGCTGTGCGGCCTTCTGCAGTCTCTCCCAGTCCTCGTCTGTGTTCCACAGATGACCAACAATGTCGATCTTGAGCTCGCTGATCGACCGCTTGACCCCCCTCGCCACCAGCACCTCACGTAGCCTGTCGATGGCCGTGAGGTCCCACAGCATGATGCCGCGCAGTGTCTGAAGCGCTGCGAGCGACTTCCCGTCAGCGGGCAGCGCACTCAGCACACCGGCCGCCCTCTCGGCCCTCCAGCTGTCGAGGTCGAGCGCCTCAATGGCGTCACAGTCCGGCAGCCACGCCCTCGCACCCTCCACATCTAACGCAGCCACACGGCGTCGAATGATGAGCGTCTTGACGGCAGGTGTCCACCACTTGCGCCCCACGCGAGCAGCCAGGCGCTCGCTGGGTATATTGTCGACGGTCTTGAGTGCCGGCAGGTGGACGGGGGCGGAGGGGGCGGGCGGCAGATCAGATGAGGGGGGCGGGTCGGGGATGCGAATGCTCCGCTCAAGCTTGACCTCCTCGAATGACAACAATTCCAGTGAGCTCTCGTCAGCCGACTGGCTGCCGTCGTAAGCTTGCCCGGCTGCGGCAGCAGCAGCCCCCTCCCCTCCCAGCCCCTCCTGCCTCTCCTTCTCTGCGATGGCCGCTCGGCCGCTCACACGACCCTCCACCAATGCCACCCAGGTCCCGCGGCACCAAGTCCGTGAAGACTCGGGGTAGCGGTGCTTGATCTCTCGCCCGGTGGTTGCCCTCTTGCCCCATCTCTGCGCCACGGCCAGCGGCATGGTCTCCCACATGCGCCTCGCCGTGTCGTCCTTACAGTCGATGACCAGGTGGGTGTAGTTGGCGGCCGACTGATGGAAGAGAGGCGTGCCGAGGGGCCGGCGGTAGCGCGTCAGCTCCCAGGGCTGCAGGTGGCCGAAGACGTCGGAGGGCTCATCGCGGGACAGACGAAAGCGGGCCTATAGGGCCGGTACATATGACACACGTGTGACTGAATGGAAGTGGATGCTTGTGTGCGTCATCACTCACCGGTACATTTTTGTTGGGCGGCTGGCCACTCTCGTAGATCAAACGATAAGACTTCTCAGCAGGAGCAGCCTGAACCTCACAATGGAAACAAACACGTCGCACAGACCACGTGCAGCAATCCTCTCCGCATGGAGCTCTCTGTGGTCGTGCAGGTGTACCTGTGGCTGCTCCTCTACGGTGTCTACTGGTGCCTGCGGCTCAGCGGCCGTTGCTATGAGGACATCCACTGCACTGGCCAGCAGAGGCTCCAATGTCGACAGCTGTATGGCTATGAGGGCATCCACTGCACTGGCCAGCAGAGGCTCCAATGTCGACAGCTGGGTGGCGGCAGCGTTGCACTGAGCAGTGAGGAGGGACAGGTGGACACGCAGCTCGCGAGCTGACGCCTGCATGGACAACCAGAAAGCAAAACGCGTGATTCATCAGAAAGAGGGGTGAGGCGAAGGTAATGATTCATACCACTGTGTCCTTATTGTCAGGCTCCGTCCGCTGCTTGATCTGCGTGAGGTGTTCATCAACCTAAGAGAGAGAAGGCAGTGGCAGCGGTGAGTGACTGAGAGCATGTGGCTGCTGTGTTTGGCCTAAATACCTTTGTCTGAAGTTGCATGAGGCGTTTCAGGCTGTCGCTCGCCAACTGAGCATCCTCCCGAAGCTGCCGCTGCTGCATCAAACAACCAAGCAACACACACAGCAGCCGAAAGGTGAAAGGCGCTGTGTGTGTTTAACGCCTTCTTTGATCTTCCTCGCCTCGTCTGCATCCATTGTGCCGCCCGCCGTCAGTGATCAAGGCCCTCCGAGGCTCTCACGGCACAGCAGGCGGCATCTCTTGCGATCGAATGACATCTGTCGCTTCTGCGGTCATAACACGAAGGTTTCCCAGCACGGAGGACCTCGTATGACGCAAGATCTACGGCATTTGATGCAGGGATCGAAGATCTTTGGCGGATCGAAACGCCCTTTCCAGCTCGCAACTGAAAAACAGTGATGATGTCGGAGTTTAAGAAGCGCAAGGGGCCGCCTGATGGTGACAGCGATGATCAGTTCCCCTCTCCGTCGCGACCAGCCTTCGCGGACCGTGCCATCCGCTCTTTCACTGCCGCCATCGACGACGCCACACGAGCCCTCACAGCCAAGCAACAGACCCTTGAGGAGCTGCAGAGCGCCAAGCAGCGGCTGCTGAATGAGATCAGCTGGCAGGAGGATGCCGCCGGTGATGCCAACGAGAGGCTCCAGCTGTCGGCGGGCGGAACGCCGTATGACATTCCTCGCGGCTGGCTGACCAAGAAGGCTGACAGCCTGCTGGCGTTCATCTTCAGCGGCCATCTCGACGGACGGCTGGTTCGCTGCACCGACAATGGATCCAATCGCATCTTCCTTGACCTCGACGACCGCATCTTCGAGAAGATCATCCATGCCCTGGCAACATACGACGGCAGCAGCAGCAGCGCGAGTCAGGCGCAAAGCAGCGGTGACCCTGACGAGGCCTTCTTCTTCGACGTGCTGGTCAACAAGCCCCTCCCCACTGTCACCCCCTCCCCCGGCCCCCCTCCCCGAAACATGGACGCCGTATTGTTTGTGAACGCCATGGACGCACCAGCCATGCCTCACACCCCCAGAGTGCAGGATGCCATGCCGTCAAGCGCGGCACTCATGGACAGCATCAAGTCGGTGTGTGAGGGGTACATGAAGGAGCATGCGGCCATTGACGCGCAGATCGATGCCGTCAAATGTGCCATGCGGCAGCTCGAGGATCGCATGAAGCTGGCCGGGCCCTGGCTGCAGCCGTCGACGGGGAGCGGGGTCGGGGTAGTGAGCCTGAGTGTGGTGGGGATGACTCTCAGCACGACCACGGCCACTGTAGAGGCATGTGGCGGGGGCGACTCGCCGTTCGCAAATCGCTTCAACGGGTGAGTACGGACACGACACATGCTAAGGGTAACACACGTGTGAACGCTTGTTTGCTCTTGCCTTAGGTCTTCGTTGGACGCCACGTCACCAGCGATTGTCCGCAAGGCCATCAACTTCGCCCGCCAACACCGCCTTGCACCCTCCCAATGCCTCACAATCTTTCTCTCGCAGCAGTCATCGGCCAACGACACACTGGAGCTGCGCCGGACACTCGAGATGTTCGGTCTCATCGGTGCACATGGGCACTGTGTGCAGCGCATCGCACCGTCGATGGGAGGGCCGGGGATGGGGCTGCTGGGAGGGCGGGCAGAGCTGAATAGGCTTGTGGGCTGGCTGGAGGAGGAATGGAAGCGACCTGTAGAGGACATACAGTGCACCTACAGGTACGCACGCGTATTTAGGTGTATATGGGCGGGAGGAAGCACCTGGGCAATATGGATGTCTTTGTTCCTCAGTTGTTCGTTGGCAGCCGCGTACGATGGCGCTGCCTTCCTGGCGAGCATCCCAGCACCAGAGGCGGAGAAGGGCTGGGTGAGTATGGCAGACGACAGCAATGGCCACAGTTGACATATGGTGCATGGCTGTGTCTGGGTGTGCAGATGTTGCTGTTGAAGAAGGGTGAGGAGGTGGTGGGTGCCGCTAGCCCCAAGGGGTTCAAGACAGACACGGAATGGCTCCGTGCGGCGTCTTCGAGAATGGCCCTCACATCGAGTAAGTCTGTTGGACGCTATCGTTTTGTTGAGGCTGTGAGCAAATGTTTCCTTGCTCTCTTTGGCTCTCCTGTGTGTGTGTGTGTGTGAATGTAGTGCTTACAACCGCTCTTCACAGGAGCCGATTCCCTTTCTCTTCAAGCTGGCCGACGCACACCACCCCGACGCCGTCACCAAGAAGACAGGGGACACATCTGGTGTCATCGTCAGCAACAGGATGGCGGGGTTGGCGTTTTGTGCCTTGCGTACAGCAGGCGCGACTACCGTAGACTCTCTTTTTGTCGACCTTGCGGCGCCATTTCATCATGACGCAGAGATAGCTGCAGCTAGCAAGAAAGAGAGGCCCCTTCTTAGCGGCCCGAGAAGATCCCACGGCAGCATGCACACCATTACTGGTGGGTGGGATGTGATGGAGGTGTGGCAGGTGGCCTACATGGGGCAGAGAGCTGTGTGACAGGGGGCGGGCTAGGGAGACGGGAGGTGCATTCATGGACGTCTCTGGGTGTACAGTGGTGTATTCTCAACAACTTTGTTCCTTCTCATTATTTCTCATATTATTTCATTATTTCTCTCTGTTTCTCCTGGGGGCCCTATCGAGAGTTACGATGGCGAAAGCAGCTCGTGCCTCTCGTGCGTCCATCACATCAGTGACTGTGGCCGCACCCGTCTCCAAGGACTACACCGATGGCGAACTCGACGCCTCCGTGCGGTCCGTCAACACGCAGCCCCTCAACAAGCGGAGGAGCACCATGCGCGTCCCCTCCAAAGCCATCATCCCCCCCTCATGCATCACTGCCCTCCCACGATTCCCCGTCATCGAGTGTCGGGGCAACCTTCTGAACGAGGAGACCTCGGCCGATGAGTACTTTGTGCTGAGGAGCGGGGAGCTGCGGCGGTTCCAGCTGATGAGCTTCGGCACCAGGAAGGTGCTGCGTGAGGGCGTGTACCTTTTCAATGGGGCGGCGCTGGAAAAGAGAGGGCTGAAAACAATCACGGTAGGGACACACTCGAAGACTCTGCATGACTGTCTGTCATGCCTGTGTGGATGTGTGAATGTATGTGTGCAGCTGAATGCGACGCTGCCTCGTTCGGTCGAGTACGTGTTGACGGCTGAGACGGAGGCCGACTTTGACAGGTGGTGGGAAGCCATCGAGGCATCCATCAAAACCGAGACAAGGAAAACCGAACTGCTCGCCGAAGGACTCGCGGTCAGTGCTTTTGTTGTGTGTGCATGTCTGCTGTCCCACCGCCCCTGTCTGAGTGAATGCAATGCTTGTTTCTTGGCAGAATGGGTCTTACTTGCACAAGTATAACTATGGGAACTACAAGAGGAAGCAGGTGTACGTGTGGCTGGCGGACGAGGGCAGGAAACTCAGATGGGCCAACAAAAAGGGCGGCTCCTTCTCAGAGGTACAGACGCACGCAAGACCAAAATAAAACAAATGTCGGTGTCTGTGCGACGGTTGGCATGGCATGATACTTCATGTCATCAGGTCGGTTTCGAGGAGGTTTTGGGTGTGGTGTACGGCCCCGTGACGAGCACCTTCCTCCGGAGCAGCTACCTGGAGGACCCCTCGTTCATGTGCTTCTCACTCATACTCGCAGACCGGACCGTCGACCTTGCGTGCATTCACGAACACGAGGCAAGCCAGAACAAAGAGACACACTTCCACACGCGGAGAGAGACACCGACAATTGTGTCTTTTTTCTGCGCAGCTCCGTATATGGGTGTTGGGGCTGCAGCGCGCCATAGTGCGTGCCAATGTGCCGCCACCGGCCGGCATGCTGCCCGCCATGTCCGATGCGCAGTTCCTGTGGCGCAAGGCCATCCTCAAGCTGCGGCAGAGCGCACAGAGGGAGGGAGTGACCCTCAAGACATTCATCACACGACGTCTCACCACCGTGGCCGACCAGGCGAGAAGGAGGTCCACCATGCTCTTGGAACCGGCAACAGATGTCCTCCAACTGCAGATTGAAAACGACGCCGTCAGTGCGCCGCACTCTCACACACCACACCCTCACACAGGCGAGGGCAGCCACATTGTCTGCGTGATGTGTGTTGTCTGTGTGTCAGTTGAGGCAAGCCTTGGACGAGGCCGAGCACCAGACAGCTGCCGATGCGTCCCCCACGCTGGCAGCGGTCCGGTCGTCGCCCGTGCTAGCGGGTGAGGACGATGAGAGTAGCGAGGGAGCGAGCCAGCTCCCTCCCAGCACAGCCGGCCCTCAAGACATTGCTATTGACCCCTTTCTAGACGACGTTGCACACATGCCACCACCCACCGACGCGCCAGAACTCTATGAGACTGAGTCAGCTGACAACATCGCACACAACACATACCCGTGCGGCGGATACACAACGCCCATTGCTGCATCTGCTGCATCCATTCAGGCCGATTCACATTCCTCCCGGGTCTGTGCCGACTGTCCAGTCTCTCCGCTCGTCCGTGCTGCGCCTCAGGTAGGGGGGGAGGCCAGGAAAATTGATGTGATCAACATGTGTCTAAGTGTGTGTGCGTGCGTGCGTGTGTGTGTATGCGTGTGGTGCAGGTCTGACAACCGTCGGGTGAGGTCTGAGATGGAGAGGAATCGCGACGAAGTCCTCAACGTGCTGCTACCAAACCTCGCGGTGAGCGGCACAAAGACGTCTGCCTGGATGGCTCCCGCCATGCCTTGTGTCTCCTGGTTATCAGGGTGCGTTGGAAGAGCAGAGTGCTCTCATTGCGGCTAAGGATGACAGGTCGGTCACGTCACAGGATGGTGGATGGATGGATGCCCACGCCATCTCTGGTTGAAAAGTGAGGGTGGATGGATGGATGTCTATAGGATCCAGGCGATGATGGCCGAGCGGAGAGACATGCTCAACCAGGTATTGACTGCGATCATTTCTCACACAGTAGCACGCGGCGCGGCATGTCGCTTGTTCTGCATTGTCTGCAGCTGCTCGAGGCCAAGGGCAACATCCGTCTCTTCGCGAGGATTCGGCCCCTCACAGCCGACGAGGCGGTCAGCGACTGCACATCCCCAAACCATCTTGATCTAGCTGTGCTGGATTGCACGTCCTGATCAATGAACGTATGTATGTCTGCAGCGTCATGAGCCGAAGGGCCGTGCGACCACCCTGGTTGAGGATGAGAGCCGCCTGAGCATCTACACCGATGCTGACACAAATGTACAGTCATTCGATGTCGATGGGGTGCTTGGACCGGCAGACGGCCAAGGTGAGTGGGCAGATAGATCGGTTGAGACGAGACACAGGTGGGTGCGGATTGCATGCTGATGCTGGCGTATTGTGTGTGTGTGTGCAGATGTCGTGTTTGAGCGCTGCCGTGGTGTGGTCTTGTCGGTGCTTGACGGGTTCAACGCAAGTGTCATCGCATATGGCCCCACGGGCACCAACAAGACAGAGACGATGGTACTCACGACCACGGAGCAACACAGCGACCTGATGGTTGTGCTTGGCCGCTCTTTCCACCTCTGCAGATGGGCACTCCCGACACCCCAGGGCTCATGAGTCGATGTGAGGAGGACGGCAATCGTGTTTACAAGAATGCACAATCATGCTTCCTGTTGCTGTCTGCATGTACCTTTCAGCGTTGGCGGAGCTGTTTGCCGTGAGAGACTCACGGGCGGCGGAGGGCAGGGTCCAAATCACCATGGCGGCCATAGGTACTCTTACTTGCTGCCAACAGACCACCTCAGCTCTCTGTGCATGTCGCGGATTCTGTGTGTGTGTCGTTCGCGTAGAGGTGCACAACGATGATGTGCATGACCTGCTGCGCGGCGACCCAAGATCCAAAAAGCTGGCCGTCAAAGAGGTGAGAGGTGGGCTAACACATCTCCTCTCCCGTCTCTGCCTTCTGGATTGGTATGTGATGCTGCTTGTCTTGTCATCAGGACTCGAGTGTGCCTGGGCTGACCGAGCGGACAGTCAATAGTGGCGAGGAGGTAGGCACACACACACCTACGCCATCCATCCACTTTGCCGTTTGAGGTCCTCACACATCGATAATCCATCTTCCTCACCATCAGGCCTTAGCTGTGTTGTCTGAGGCCTCTGCCCACCGTGCAACCCTCGCCAAAAACATGGAGGAGCACTCAGCCAAATCGAACCTGTGAGCGAAGGGACGACAGAGAGCCACACGCGATTGTGCCGTCTAAGTGCTCTCTGCGTGATGTAATTGCAGCATCGTGACGGTTCGCGCGAAGATCGCCCCTGCAGCTGAGGGGGCCGCCAGCTCTTCAGGCAAGCTGACGATGGTGCAGCTGGCTGGCTCTGAGCTGGTGGTCAGGAAGGCAGGCGTCAGCGCCTTCAGAGACGTCATTCAGGTAGGTGTGTGTGAGTACACAGGCAGGCCAACCGAGACACGATTGAGGCGTGTGTGTGCCAGTCGCTGAGCAAGAAGGAGGCCTCTGTGCCCTATGACAAGTCCAAGCTCACGATGCTCCTCAAAGACACCCTTGGTGGGTGGTGGGCACGTGGCATCAGGAAAAAGAGAGACATGCACGACACGACTTTTTCGCCCTGTCTGCAGGCGAGTCGGCCAAGTGTGTGATACTGCTGCATGTGTCGCCCAGCCAAGCCGCCGTCAAGGACACCATCACGTCGCTGCAGTTCGCAGCCACAGCCAGGAGAGCGGAGCTCGGTGAGCGAGCAGGACGGATGGGAGACAAGGCTCGAATGCACATGTCCTCTGTGACCAGGTGCCGCGAGGAAGACGCTGCGGAAATAAATAGGGAGTGTAAGATTCGGACAGACATAGGCGGTTGTTGTGCTGCGTTGTGGTGTGATGCATGTGACATTTCTGTGATATGCTTTTTGGGCTCAGTTCACTCGTCGATGAATTCCTCACACCCACAGGCACGCACCCGTATACGGCAGCCCTGCATGCCCTCATGGGTCGATCCACAAATACCCTTATGAAGGTAATGTGTGCACACATAGATGCACTGCACCGCATGCCCATGCCCGTACCTATGGTATGCATCGCATCGAGGCC